CCATCTTGGCTGACAGTTAATTTGCATAAGAATATGCTGATTAGCCAATGGGAAGGGTAGCGGTCGTACGCTAATTACCATGTTTCTCTTTTATTAGTGTAGATGTCAACTATAATCCTATATAATAAAAGGCTAATATGCAAATCGACCGAACGGCAGAACAACTGGTCGCTATGATGCACGCTGACCACCAGCGGGCAGACGCTCAATGCCGGAGCTGCCCCCTGGTGGTCAGTGTGCCAGAAGCTGGGTTCACGGCTGGTGAGCACAGTGGCAGTGGCTCTCCCGCCTCTGCAGCAGCGCTAAGGATGTCCAACTGTCGAGCGGGCCTAAGCTGTCAGCTGGACATCCCCCAAGGGCTCCCAGATTGCGAGAGGGTGCAGGTCGGGCTGAGGGATCCCCTCCTCACCGAGTGTACGAATTTCATGTACCGGGTCTCTAGTTGAAAAATAAAAAATTGTTTTAAAATAGAAAAAAAGAAACCTAATCCCCATATGTGATGGTATTTGGAGGAGGGCCTTTGGGAAGTAATTAGGTCACAACAGTAGAACCCTCATGAATAGGTTTAGTGCCCTTATGAAAGAGACCCCAGAAGCTTGACTCCTCCTCCTGCCATGTGAGGATACCATGAAAAGATGGCGGTCTATGAACTAGGGATGGGGTCTTCAATAGACACCAAATCTGTGGGTGCCTTGATCTTGAACTTCCTAGCCTCCATAACTGTGATAAATTTATGCTGTGAATAAACTACCCAGCCTATGGTATTTTGTTACAGCAGGGGACCAAGAGAATATACAGTGACAATTAAGTTGTTCTCCCACTTTTGACCCTCACCTATCCAGCTCCTCTCCCTAAAGGCAATCTCTGTAAACTAGGATTTTGTGTATCCTTCAAGATTTAAAACATATGTAAAACTAGAAATTAGCCGAAAGCAACAAATACAAGTGAATTCAGGCCAGAGTTTGTCTATTCTGATCACTCTCAGATGGGTACACAGGAGATGGTCAACTAGGCTGTCCTTCAAATGTGTACACATATTCTCTCCCCAACTGTACTTCAGTTCATCAATCCAATATTTGATAGGCACTTTATTCTTATTAAGAGAGTTCAACACTATGCTGGCCCAGTGGACGACAAAGAAAAACATGATCCTTTCTCTCAAGCTTACACTTTTGCCGAGTAGGCAAAGTAGAAAAGAAATATATTTTCCCAGGATAACTCACTCTCTAATGTCTTCCCTCATCTCCTGAATTCTGCCTAAAACTGAGCTTTGTGGCTCCTCCCCCTCCACCCATCACCACCCCATTAAACCTGCTCTTTTCCTGAATTATCTCAAGTTCAGTTCATGGTACGGACACTCAGAGGGAAGGTAGGTTTGTTTAAGGGTGGGATTAAACAGAAACCTAATAGTAATTTTTGCACTCATCCCACATCCAATAGATGAGCAAATTCTAACTGTATATCCTAAATATTTCTAAAACTCATCCTTATCCTCTCTATCTCCATTTTCACTTAGTTGTAAATCCACATCATCTCTCAGCAGGGTCATTAACTGGCCTCCATACCTAAGTCTCTTCTCTCCAATTCTTACTCCAAATCACTGAATGCTCCCCATAGGCATGGCACACGGCCCTTTGCTAACCTGCCCTCTAACTTACCTCTCCCTCACTCCTGCATCCCACTCCATATAACAGTATCGCTTCTTCCAACCATTCTGAACGTTTTTTCTGGTTCCTCCACACCTTGTATATGCAGTTAACTTTGCTTGGACTGTCTCTCCTTTCCTATCCTACACCAACCCATCCACCTAGCTACACCTCTTATGACAAGACCTGATACCCTGCCTGACCAGTTAATCACTTCGCCACTCTGAACAATCACTCCCTCCACTGTGACATCACAGATCTTATACTTCTATTATTCCTTGCTGTTGCTGTATTTAACCTAAAATATAAGTAAATGTGGTATTCTTTGAAGTTCTCATACAGTTTTATAAACCTGGTATCCAACCCAATGCACACCAAAATAAACATTTAAAAAGGAAGAAAAACAAACAAAATAAATGTTTGTTATATAAACTGAGTGAAGCTTTATCTTTTTCTCCATATTCCCTTCTCATTTTCTTCCCTTTTATGATTAGTGCCCCACAACCATGAATCATGACCCAGTCTAAGTTATAAGTTAGTAAGATGATTTCAGAATTCTGATGCCATGGAAGTAGACAACTCTACTCAAAGGCTAAATCAGTGAAGTCCCTGAGTAAAAACAGCAATTTTCCAACAGAACCTCAACTCCAAGAAGTATCTCTTTCCAGTACAATTTCATGTCTTCTTGCTTCCCATCCCAAGAGAGTGACAGGTTTCTAAATGAATTACAAGGTTCCTTCATCCTTTGTATTATAAGATGCTTGTTATTTTATAAGTTTAATAGTAATGAGCCTGTTTCCCCAGAATCGTATCTCATTTTATGAATGGCAAAGCTAAGGCCAAACAATGAAGGTTAATGACCTTTTCCCAAAATCAAAAACACACTTCTAAAATAACAAGCATCTTATAATACAGACATACCACAAAATGTGCATCTATATACTGGTAGTGCTCTATATTGGCAAGTGCAATACACCCTTACCTCATGTAAGCTCCACAATTTTTATTTCACAGGGAGTAAAACAGTATTTACAAGGAGTAATTCCTGAGGGAATGAATATTTATTGAGTATCTACTGTTCTATGATCGGTGATTAAAATATGTAATAAAAATGAACACACTATATGCCAACAACTTCATGATGCACATTGGTTTTTAAAATGTGCCTGCCAGAGAGGAATGGGTGAGATGATTTATTAAATAAAGGATTTTAGGGATCTTGTCAGAATTCAAATTATTACTCATCAGGTCTTGGGTAGGACTCGAGTTTCCCAAGAAGCTCTTGGGTGACGCTGGTGCTATTGGTCTGCACTTAGATAATAGTAAGTTGTAAAGTTTATAAAGAATGAACCCTCGCCAGCACGACTAAAACAAGCATTAGAGTGCGGAGGTAGCGGGCCTCTCACATCCTCTCACCTTCAATGACTCTCAAGTCCTACTATTATCCTTTCTACCTGACAAACAGACGAAGGCACAGAACAGTGACCTTTGAACAGATCGGCAAGTCTGATACGTGGGGAACCAGGATTCACACTGAGGTGGACTGGACCCTGCAGGGCACTGTTACCCAGTACACTGTATCTAAGTGAACAGGCAGATCAGAACTCAAAGGCAGGGTCAGCGATCTTCGGGACCAACCTTCCGGGCCCAGTTCTGCTATAATGGTTGTGTCGGGACAACATGATGCCATAGGGCAGGGAACGGGGAAAACAGAGCCCGCCGCGCAGCAGAGCAGGCGGGGAAGGGTCGGCGGTGTCCGGGATCTTCGCGCGAGAGGACCGAGGGCTGGCTGCCGGCGGAAGTAGGAGGGCGGGGCCTGCGCCCGGGAAAGGGTCCGGGCGGGACTGAACCAACGAGCGCCGGGAAGGGGTTTCAGAGTTAGGGCTACGTGGCTGCCTCCGCGCCCTGTGCCGAGGCTGAGCGACACTCACTCCAGCCCTCGGCGCCCTTGAGTTGTGAGTGCTGAGTAGCGGGGCTCTCTTAGGCCACAGCCGTCTCCTTAGAGACGCTTCCTCCCGCCCCTCAGTCGAGTGGGAAGCCCCGGAAATGGCGGCCCAGCGGTACCTGGCCAGTCGGGGTGGAAGAGTGTCCAGTCGCTGTACCAACTCCACTGCGCCCCACGCAAATCCACCCATTCCTTTGCCGCCACCGTGGCCCTTACCAGCTCTTTGGGCGGCTTCTCCTGGGTTTTTCCAAACAGCCCCATGGTTAATGAACTCGTCTTGCCCCTTCCGGCTTTTCGTTCCCTGCGCCCAGGCAGGTCACGGGCAGCCGCCTGGGCGGGGCCGTGAGAGGGAAGGAGACCGACGCCCGGAGAAGGGAGCGGCCGCAGTTAGGGAAATGCGCATGCGCAACACGGTCAGGCGGCACTTTGTCCAGAAGATTGACGCGATTGCGCAATTCTGGGCGGGGCTTTCTTAAGGGAGGCGGCGAAGGAGGTGTTTTTCCCTGCGTTGTAGAAGGGAGTCATCTGAAAGGTAGGAATTTATTGACCACACCTGGGGATTACAGCTGCTCCCGGTAGGTCACCTGCGCCTGGATGTTGTTGTGCCGGAAATCTGGATCTCCGCCCAGACCAGGTACAATGGCCACCACTTTCCAAACATCTTGTGTCCCGTAGGCAACTCACCGGCAGCGACCTGCAGAGCTACTCCTCCCCTCTGTTGTCACCTCAACCACCTAGTTCCTAAAACCTCGGCATCATCTTCTCTTTCCCCTTCTTACCAGTTCCCAGCGATTGTAAGCTTTTCAACACACTGAACTCCAGCCTTTTGCTTTCCATCCCAAGTATCCCAGCTTTTACTCAGGCCGTAGCCATTTCAAACGTGGATGATAACGTGTGTGTGTTCCTACTGTGACCTTTACCAGATTTTCAGAAGAATCTAAGACAAAAAGGTCTAGACCAGGAGTGGGCAACCTTTTTGAGTGCGTGCCAAAACCAGCAAAATCTCTGACTCAAAATTCTTCTGCATGCCAACCCTAATTTTTTGAGAACATGTTACGCCTACTTGATATCTCTTAAGGTGTACGTATGTGAAAAACCTTGAAGAAATAATAAAATTCATTCGAGCGACAAAAACACAGTATATGATGATGAAAAATACATTTATTTTTTAATGTATACATGTTATGTAAAATTATTTATTTATCTAAGATGCACCTACACTGAATTTATCTGAAAAATAAAAAAGTCGATATTAAGAAAAAAATTGTAAATGGAAGATTATAAGAGAGGGTTTCACGTGCCAGCAAAAGTTACTTGCGTGCCATGTTTGGCATGCGTGCCAGGGGTTGCCCACCCCTGGTCTAGACCCCTTCTAGTTGGCCAGTCTCTGGTTGAACTACACGGGTAAGCTGATGGTTAGTCATTACCTCATGTCATGATGGTGAAGAGACCACTCATTTAGTGCGGCAACCCCATACCATCTCATGGGAATATAATACGGTACAACCACTTTGAAAGCACTTTGGAACTTCTTAAAATACTAAATATAAACCTATCTTAAGTCATTCCACTGCTAGCTATTTACCCAAGAGGAGAAAAATTATATGGCCTTACAAAGACTTGTACACAGTGTTCATAGCTTCTTTATTTGTAATAGACAAGAACTAAAAATAATTCAAATGTCCATCAACAGGTGAATGGATAAAACCAATTATGATAGAGTCATACAATGGAATACTACTCAGCAGTAAAAAGACCAAGCTTTTGATACATGCATCAACATGGATGAACCTCAAAATAATTATGTTGAGTGAAAGAAGCCTGAAAAAGTCTATAATGTATGTGATTTCATTTATGTAGTATTCCAGAAAATGGAAACTATAGTGACAGAAAGTAAATCAGTGGTTGCTAGGAGATGGGTTGGCTTGGAAAAGGAGGAGGAATTGCAAAGAGACAAAAGGAAGCTTTTACGAATGATATAAATTATCTTAATTGTGGTGTTGGTTTCACAGATGTATATGATGTCAAAACAAACTGGACACTTAATATGTCCAGTTTATGTCAATCATACTCAATAAAGTTCTTTTCAAAATAGCAGTATATATTTATTGTAAAAAGTAAACCCCCCATTTATACTTCCTCACAGGTAAAGGTCTCAAAGGATTCACACCAACTAGTTAGTATCTATACTATACATATAAAAGCCTAATATGCTAATTGTCCCTCCAACTGTTTGACCAGTCGCTATGACACGCACTAACCACCAGGGGGCAGATGCTCTGACCAGTAGGTTAGCTTGCTGCTAGGGTCCGGCTGATCAGGACTGGGGGAGATGGGGTGGACACACCCTGGAGCCCTCCCGTGTTCCCTCCCTGGCCCTGATAGTGCAATGGTGGGGCTCCTTGCCTGGCCTCTGCCCTCTTGCAATCCGGGACCCCTTGGGGGATTTTGGAGAGCCGGTTTTGGCCCAATCCCCACAGGCCAGGCCGAAGGACCCCACTGGTGCATGAATCCATGCACCGGGCCTCTAGTATTATATATTACTAGAGGCTAGTATTGAGGCCTGGTGCACAAAATTTGTGTACTCGGGGGGAGGGTCCCCCAGCCTGGCCTGTGCCCTGTCACAGTGCACAAGCCCTGTGATCGATTGCCCCAAAGAGGTAGGCCCCACCCACCCATCCAGGGCTCCTCAATGGATTGCCCCAAAGAAGTAGGCTGGAGCCAGGGGTCCTGCCTCCGTGCCACGCGGAGCCGGGAGGAGGTAGGACTCCCAGGCAGGCTCCCTGCCGTGCACATAGCGTCAAGCCCAGCCCCACCCACCTGCGCACACCCGCTGTGCACGCAGCCATCTTGTGACGGTGTGAGGGCATCACGGTGTGATGACCATTTAGGCTTTTAATTGTAAGGATGATGCCCTAGCTGGTTTGACTCAGTGGATAGAGTTTTTGCCTGTGGACTGAAGGGTCCTGGGTTTGGTTCCTGTCAAAGGCACATGCCCAGATTGCAGGGATTCCCAATAGGTGGCTGCAGGAGGCAGCGAATCAATGATTCTCTCTCACTAATGTTTCTATATCTCTCTCCTTCTCCTTCCTTTCTGAAATCAATAAAAATATAAGAAGAAACTCTTACCTTTAAAAAATATTATATATTATGATTATAAATAGTTGGTGTGAATCCTTTGAAACCTTTTTCTTTGGAGAATATACTTTTACTTAATTGGATTATTATACATAATTGTTCTACAATCTCCTTTTTAAAAACATTTTTTACATGGATTTTCATTGTTGTTAATGTCTATAGCTAAAGGATTCCATAGCAGGAATGTAGTAAAATGTAATAATTTCTCTACTGGATGATGTTAAGTGGTTTCAATTTTTTTCCTATTAAATTATAAGTATAGACACAGTTTTGAACTACCAACAGTGTATAAGAGCACCCTATTACCTAAATCCTTGCTAACAATGATTATTAAAAATGTTATTTTTAATTTTCATTTCTAAATGAGCATCTTTTTGTATATTTGTTGGCTATTTTAATTTCTTCTATGAATTGTTGCTTTGTATCCTTTGTTCAGTTTCCATACAATTGTCTCTCTTCCTGCTACCTTCCCCACCTTCCTTCCTTTCTCCCTTCCTACCTTCTCTCTCTTGAGGGTTCTGTTTTTTTGAGAATGAACTGTAAGTCAGCAATTTTTCAGGTAGGAGAACACTGGACTTCCAGTTAGTCAATGGTATTTATTGAATGTCTACTATGTTTCAGACTAGGAAAACTGCAGTGAACAAAAAAGAAACTCATACAATCCAGTGAGAAAAACAGTGGTGATAAATAAAAATGATGGTAATAAACAAAACTGAGCAAATTACTACAAATGTACAAAACTCTAAATATTAAGAAGAAGAACATGGTGATCAGTGAATCTTTCCTGAGCAGGTGATGTGTAAGCTGGGACCTGAAAGATGAAGTAGCAGAGAGATGAACAGTATCCGGTGCAAAGGAAAGAGCGTGTGCCCAAAGAGCCTTCCCAGCCTCTGGGTGGGGATTGTGGGCCCCAGGCATTTCAGTTCCTAAATGTGACTTGTTCTGAAGTTGGCCATCGAGGGCAGAGGCCACAGGGTGGAGGAAGGTTTAATTTGGCGTGTGGCATCTCCCTGCAATACAGAGCCCTCCAAACACATCAATGCAGTTGCTCCTCAGCAACTAGAAGGGCACTGTACATCTCCCACACATTTTCTGGGCTTCACCCTCAGAGGAACGTATACCTTCTGTTCATGCCCTGACATTGTGTTGGTATTGGACAAAGCTTAAGCTGTGGGCAATGCTTTCTTCCTATATGGACCTCAGGAAGCATGCACCAGATCCTCCCACCTGCTAAGACTCACATCTGAGGTGGTGGGAAGAACTAAGTGAGCAGGCATGCTAGCTCTTTGCTCCTGCCAAGCACAGCAAGTGTTTAACAGGATCACAATTCTCTGCCATATGTCACATAGATGTTTATTCACACACATTTTTAAAGGCCATATGTGCATTCTCTTCCTGATCCATGAAAAATATTATAAATGCATGCATATCCTTGACTTGAGAAGTCCTGCAATGCCTGATGCTTTAAATATTTCCCTGATATTAACATGAAAAATAGGACTGTGTCTCCTCCATTCCCCAGGTTGTCCTTGCTTATTTCAGTTAAATTTCCAATTTTAGGGAGCTTCCTGGCTCACAACTATTCCCCACTTATCAGGTAGATTATTAAATGAAATGCTTTGGGCAAGGAAATCACAACCCAATTCCTGGCAGGAATTTTGGCCTAATAAGACCAAGATATACTTTATTTCCTAAAATTCCTTATTTTATTTATTTATTTATTTTTATTGATTTCAGAGAGGAAGGGAGAGGGAGAGGGAAACACCAATGATGAGAGAGAATCATTGATTGGCTGCCTCCTGCACGCCCCCTACTGGGGATCAAGCCCACACCCTGACTGGGAATCGAACTATGACCTCCTGGTTCTTAGGTTGATGCTCAACCACTGAGCCACACGGGCTGGGCAATACACTTTATTTTTTATAACATTCTTAAAATGTTAGATACAAAGTAACCTTTGGAAAGTTGAACTCCTTCCCATAACTTATATAATAATTTCGGAGTGGATTTATCTTCACTTCTGACTAACCTGCAGATCCCACAGGCTCCTAACCACAGTTATGACTTGCGATAAGGCAAAAAAAAAGACCTTCAGTTATCTCCCACCCATTTCCAACCTTCCTCCACCAACTTTACAATGCTATTGGATTCGTTTCCTAGAGTGTGGTAATAACGTATGACAGACCAGGTGTTTTAAAACAACGTAAGTTTATCCTCTTATAATTCTGGAGGCTATTAGTCCAAAATAAGGTGTCAGCAGGGCAGTGCTCCCTCTTAGACTCTGGGTAGAATCCTTCCCTGCCTTTGCCTGGCTGCTGGTGGTGGCCATCAACCCTTGGCATTCCTCAGCTTGCAGAGGCATCACTCCCTTCTCTGCCTCTATCCTCATAGGGTGTTTGTATGACTCAGCTTGGGCTGCCATAGCAAAATACCATAGACTGGGTGGCTAAACAATGGGACTTTAACTCCTCATAGTTTTGGAGGCTGGATATCTGAGATCAGAGTGCCAGCATGGTCAGGCTGTGGTGAGAGCTCTCTTCCTGGCTTGGCCATCTCACTGTGTCCTCACATGGTATCTCTTCCTCTTATGAGGACACTAATCCCATCATGAGGGTCCCACCCTCATGACCTCATCTAAACCTAATTATCTCCCAAAGGCCTTATCTCCAAATACCGTCACATTGGGGTTTAGGGCTTTCACATAGAAATATTGGGAGGACACAATTCAGTCAATAGCAATGTTCTCCCCCCTGTGTCTCTCTTCCTCTTCTTTATAAGCACACCAGTCATAATAAGGGCACCATAATAAGCATACCATAATAAGCACACCACCCTAAATCCAGTATGACCTCATCTTATGTCATTACCTCTGCAATTACCCTATATCCAGATAAGGTCACTTCCTGAGATACTGGGTATGGACTTCATTTTCTGAAGGGGTATAAATTCAACCTGTTCCAACCCTCATACATGTACATGGGTCCCCCATTTTAGAGAAGAAGGTGATAGAGGGTGGAGGGGGACTGGTTAGCTGAATCCTTGGGAAATAAACTAATCTCTGTCCTCCATGAGCGGCCCCAAAGTAGAGACAGTTTCCACTTGGGAGGGTTAAGTAGATACCTGAGGCCTGACTCTAGCTTAGAGGACAAATCACTGCAGCCACCCACACTGCTACTTAGAGCACGATTTCTACCACTTAAGGGGAATTTACACACCTTCCTTTGTTTTCCCAGAGCACAGCAGAGACAAAGCCTGAATTTTTTAAAAAATCCAATTGGAATATTTAAGCAATACTTCACTAAAGTCTCCAAACACCACCAGAACTAGAAGATTAGCATGTGATTTACACATTCAATATTATGGTAGACTGGATAGTCTCTTTTAAAATATATTTTATTGAATTCAGAGAGAGAAAGGGAAAGGGAGAGAGAGAGAGAGACATCAATGATGAAAGAAAATCATTGATTGGCTGCTTCCTGTATGCCCCTCACTGGGGATTGAGCCTGCAAAACTGGGCATATGCTCTGACTGGGAATTGAACTGTGACCTCCTGGTTCATAGATAAATGCTCGACCTCTGAGCCACCCCAGCCGGGCTATAATAATATTCAAAGCAGCTTATTAATAACAGCAAAAACTAGAAATGTCCATCAGTAACCAAAGGAAAAAATACATTGTGGAATATTCAAACAATGATATACTACACAGTAATACAAAAAAGAAACTATAGGTACATGCATCATCATGGCTGAAACTCAGTGGGGATCACTGTGCTTTGCTTGGACTTGAGCTCTCTGCATCACAATCAGGAAATTGCCCTATGCATGCAGAGAGCTGGGTAATCATAGGCTTGCCAGGTTAATTTCCCTTCTTTCAGGGATCAGCTTTGTACTGCCTGTTGTCCATTGCCTGAAAACAATGTCCTCATATATATTTGTTTAGTTTTACAGTTATTTATAAGACGAGAGTGGGTCTAGTACCAGTTACCCCACCATGGCCAGAAGTAGAAGTCCTGAATCATTTTTAGGAAGTCATATGAACTGCAGTTAGGAAAACTGGATGTAGGAGCTGAGAGAGCAGAGATGAGTAGGTAACTGCAGGAATCTTGACTTATGCTGGGACTGTTGATGCAGGATATTTAGGTGGATAGATGGTTAGTAAAGTTTGGATATCATATGATTGAGATGCTATAATAGTTAAAGAATAACGTGCTGTAACAGAGAGACCCCAAAAATGCAATAGTTTAAATAAAATAAAAGTTTGTTTATTTATTTAGAATAGTATAGTGATCTCCATAGTCAGGCTTTCTGTTCCATGAGGTCATGCAGGGACCTAAGCTGGTGAAGTAGCTTTGTGTATTGGTCACACCTAACTTTTTTTTAAAAATATATTTTATTGATTTTTTACAGAGAGAAAGGGAGAGGGATAGAGAGTTAGAAATATTGATGAGAGAAACATCGATGAGATAAACATCGGTCAGCTGCCTCCTACACACCCCCTACTGGGGATGTGCCCGAAACCCAGGTACATGCCCTTGACCAGAATTGAACCCGGGACCCTTCAGTCCGCAGGTCAACGCTCTATCCACTGAGCCAAACCGGCCAGGGCGGTCACACCTAACTTTCAAGGTTGCTTTAGTTATCACCATATCTTGCAGGTTGGAAGTAGAGAAGAGAGAGTAGTGATACACATAACCCATGTTTTAAATCAAGATCTGGAAGTGGCATGCATCACTTTTGCTTACATTGCATTGGCAAGAATTGCATTGTTCACATCTCACTACAATGTGGGCTGAGAAATATAGATGATAGCTGGGTATTTGTTTAGCTAAAATTGTATTATTAATGGAAGAATAAATTGGTGGTAAAATTTGGGAGGGTGACAATCAGCAAGTCTGCCAGGGAAGCTTTTGGGTCATCCAGGTGAAATGCCTAGCAGATAGCTTTATATAGGGATCTGGTATTGAATAGTGTGTAATGGTCTGGAGATGTGGACTCAGAAGCCATCAGCATGGACAAGAGTACTGATAAAATCACTCACATGGCCCTAGCCAATTTGGCTCAGTGGTTAGAGTGTAAGCCTTTGGACAGAAGGTTCACAGGTTTGATCCCCAGTCCTCCGTCAGGGCGCATGTGGAGGCAACTAATTGATGTGTGTCTCTCTCCCCCTCTCTTCCACTCTCCCTCTAAAAAAAAAAAATCAATGGAAAAAAATATTCTCTGGTGAGGATTAATCACCCACATGAATTGAGCACTGAAAAAGAATTCTGGTGGAACAATAACTCTGAAGAAGCAAGGTATGAAGAAGATTCCAGAAAGGAGAGTATGAAGGAAGGATAAGAGAAGTGGCAGGGAAAGGCAGGGAAAACCAGGTAGAACAATACTAGAGAAGCCTAGGTATTTCAAGGAGTAAGAAGTCAACAGAATCACCACATGCAGAGAGCTCAGGTAATATAAGTACAAAAGTACATTCATTAAATTCAATTATTAACTCAATTGGATTTAATACAATCTATATATATAAAAGCCTCATATGCTAATTGTCCCTCCGACTGTTCGACCAGTTGCTATGACACACACTGACCACCAGGGGGCAGACGCTCCAACCATTAGGTTAGCTTGCTGCTGGAGTCCAGCCGATCAGGACTAGGGGAGATGGGCCAGACACGCCCTGGAGCCCTCCCGCGGTCCCTCCCCGGCCCCGATTGTGCACCAGTGGGGTGCACCGGGCCTCTAATAAATATATAAAGAATAAACAAAGGAATATTGAATGAGGTAATAAAGGCCTAAGGGATTGCCAATAGAAGCAAAACAACAGATAAGGGTGATGAAAGAGGGTGATTTTTAGTGGGTCCACAACTGAAACATGATTGGCCATGAGTTGATAATTATTCAAGGTGGGTACCTGGGGATTCATTATATTAATGTCTCTACTTTTGTATATGATTGAAATTTCCCAAGGAAGAAATAATGTTTAAAAAATAATTTCTTACCCCCCACCCCCCCAAAAAAAGCCACAGACTGGGAGAAAATATTTGCAATACATATATTGGACAAAGGACTTAGTATCTAGAATATATAAAGAACTCCTATAATTCAATAAGAAAAAGACAGCAACCCAGTAGAAAAATGGAAAAAATATTTGAACAAGAACTTAAAAAAAGCGGTAATAATTCAAATGGCCAACAAACATATGATAAAAGTCTCAGCCTCATTAGTCATTGGAGAAATGCAAATTAAAACTACAAAGAGATATCTTGCATCCATCAGAATTGCTAACATGAAAAAAACAAATCATAGCATCAATCTTAGTAAGACTGTGGAGCAAGTAGGACTCATAACACTGTTGAAGAGGGTGTAAATTGGTACAACCACTTTAGAAAACTGTCCACATTTACCAAAACTGAACTTAGGCATACTCAATAACCCAGAAATTCCACCCTCGATAGAAATGTGAACATACGTGAACCAAAGTCATATATAAGAACTAGAGGCCCAGTGGATGAAATGCATGCATGGGTAGAGTCCCTAGCGGCTGCCGGCTGCCGGCCAGGGCCTCCCTTCCCCCGGCTGCTGGCCAGGGCCTCCCTTTGCACCCACCTTGGCCTGGTGCTGCCCGCTCACCTGCTCCACTATCCCACCATGGTCCTGCTTTTGTCGGGGCCCATTGGGGCCGGCAGTGCCTCCACTGCCGCCTGCTGCCAGCACCACGTCGCCGTTGCCCGCCATGTTCTGCGCCGTCCCCTGGTGGTCAGCACATGTCTAACTCTCGGTTGGTCGAACTTCCACCCGTAGAGACAATTTGCATATTAGCCTTTTATTATATAGGATAGTCATAGCGTCATTATTTGTAATTGTCAAAAGCTGGAAAATTGTGGCATACTCATACAATGTAAAAGTAATGAAAATGAACAGACTACCCACAATAGAGATGAACCTCACAAACACAATTTTAAATAAAACTTTATACAAAATACTACAATGTTATATGATTCTAAGAGAATCATTTAAAAATAGGCAAAACTAATCTATGATTTTAGAAGTTATCAGAGAGGATACATTTGGAGAGGATGGTGGAAGTAGTGACTATAAAGGAATCGTGGGAGATTTCTGGGATGTGGCAATTCTGTTTCCTTATCTGGTGATGTGTTGACTTTGTGATAAAATAATAATATGCATATTTAAGGTTTATATAGCTTTATGGATATATGTTGCCCTTGTAAAAACGTCAACTAAAGGGAAAAAAAGAATGTATTTTCCCTAAATGGCTGAAAGTGATTAAAAGACTAGATGGTGAAGGCACTATTTATTTGCTCCATCTTTTTCTTTCACTGTTCCTCTCCTTTTTAATTGATTAGTACCTGTTATGAGGTATCAAAATCCTTTCCCACTTCCCACCTTTGGTTTGCCCTGTAGGAATAAGATATTTCAGGAAACACTAGTATGCATTCAGACTATGGAATAATTCTCAGATAAGTAAGCAACGTAGTTAACAACACATTCTCCTTGGCTAAAAACTCCAAGCTGTTTAAACAAACTCCAGGTCTCTGATTACCAGATTCTAAATAAAACACATATATTTCCCCCTAAATGAGTCAGTTAATTTCTCCTTAGAGTTAAAGGAATATAACTGAATGAGTTATTGCAGTCGTTTTTAGCCCTTAGAAAACTCTGAAAACGTAAAGGGTTGTTTCTCCAGTTTCTGTATAACCCTGTCTGGTGCACATTATGCTGTAAACTCTCTTTTGTTTGGGTCATATTACCTCTCATCCTTTCCATAGCCATGAAGTCTGCCTTCACTCGGTAACGGCAGAGAATATGCTTGGCTGAGGCAGAAGGAAACTGCTCTCATGTCTTCTGTTCCCTGCTTTGGAGATGGATATACAGGATAATAGAATGAGTTTGGAGCTGAACTCCTGAGTATGTAAATATAATACCTTATGGTTCACAGGTTTTTCTCTGAATAAAAATCCTGGTTAAATACGTATCAGTGTGATGAGTTAATGTAAATATTTATTTATATTTCAAATTAAGTTTTTTCAACAGGTAAACTCCTGAGTCATTCTCTTTCCCAAAGGTGGTGACAGGGAGTGTCCAACTAAGTGTCCAAATCTTGGCTTTCAGCACCTGCTGTTGCTACATTGCCAGTTAACTGCACGCTTTTCTGTGGGTCCTGGCAGGTGGACTGTTTATAGACTTTTGCTAATGTAGCATGCTTTTTGTTAGGTGATGAGTGTGCCAACTGAGTCATTACAGGGACATCAACAATCTAAATTAAGATAGAAGATTGGAGAACACGGCCTTTGCTTCCAACACTTAGATTCTAGTATTTTAATCAGGAAAACTGTAAGAACTACATTCTTTTTTTTTTCTCATCAAACAAAATGAGGTGTTTTAAAGCAAAGTAAAGCAATACACATCAAAATTGGTCACAGTCCACCACGTTCTATACTAACAAATCATTTGAACTCTGCTGTTTTAAAAGCCCAAGATATTGCTGTGTTTGGCATTTTAAGAGGTGTCTCCTATACCAGCCTCTGGCAAGAAAGCCAAGAGTCAGTTTGAGGTATTTTGTTCCAGAAACCTGTTGTTTTAGCAACTTGGCCCAGGAATTAAGTAAACTGAAACGGAGAACATTTAAACAATAAAAACAGAAGCAGCCCTGGAAATATCAGAATTCTCATTTCACTTTTGCTGTGTCTGAGACCCTGCTTTGTCTTTGTGACAGGACTTAAGAAAGCTCCAAATAAATTACCCCCGTGGAAAAATGTCAGCAGATTCTGCTTTATCAACAAATAGACAGTGGTCTCAAAGTGCATGACCAAATGGAAAGAGCAAGGGATTTTACTAATAGTTGTGACACTGACTGTGTGACACTGTGTATGAAAGTTATTTTTCTAATGTACAACCGATGGCATAGTTTATGGCAAAACAAGTAAGACTGTTAGGCATTAACCTTTTCTAAGGGAGACAAGGAACAAGGTTTCTGGGCCTCTAAATGGGTTTTCCAAGAAACAGAAACTTTTCACATTGTTAAAGTGTTCTACAGTTAACAATTTTGAATATCATAAAATGAATTTTCTGACTTCTTTTGCAGATAGTACTAGTAAAATGTTTTTGTGTGTGATGACACAGAGTTATTCTTGGCAAGTCAGTGATATCCTCTCAGGAAATTATTTTCCATTGCACTCCCTGGCCACACACTCCTGTTTTGTGTTTTGGTCTTTTTCCCCCCTCCTTAATACTTTTATCCCTTGCCATCAAACTATTGTAACAATACCTTCTTTGCCTGGCCTGCCTTTAGCAGGATCCACCCCTACTCCATAGTCTCTTTACATGGAGCTTCTATTCTATAGAGTAGGAAGCTAGGTCACCAAGCCATTCAAATTCTATGTACAGTAAAAATACATTTTCTCTAAGTAAGCGTCTGCAT